CCATGTCTGATTGACCGGTACCCAGATTCGTCACTCCAGGGCCTGGCAAGGACAAGACTCTTTCTTGCAACAGTGCACAAATAGCGCGTGGGCAAAAGGCAAAGGCCGTGTCCAGCTGCTATTTGCAATACACACAAAATGGCAATTCCTCTGGCCCACTCAGCCTCCAAGCGGAGCAATTTTTTGTCCCAACAACAAATTTTGCCTTTTTCCACGCATGAAAGACTGTCCATTTGGTGGAATGGGTTGGGAGTTCAGGCCCACATTTCTGTGGCCACGTCATCAGCCTGAAGATGACCCCCCAAGCGCCCCGCATTACATTCTCTGGAGCGACCCGCTTTATGTGTTGGCTCGGAATTATGGTCAAACCCTTGACAGCAAGCAGTTTGCCTCCTCCACCGGTCAGAAAAGAGACCATGATGAGGCACCTGCCCTCGAGCCGCCCTGCAAGAGTCTTCGACCCAACTCTGTGGACATCGAAAAGGAAACCTCATCGGGTCCTCCTCCTTACGAAAAGCAAATTCAGTCTAGCAGGCCAGACCAAATGTCATCCGAATTAGGACCGGAGCTGAAACAAGCCATCGACCTAGTGTCCGATAAGCATGGTCCCAAAATGCTGTCCCTTAAAGCACATGAAAGGTCATGGATCCTCAAGGTGCGCAAGACCGTGGGACACCCCAGCCCGGCTAAACTCAAACAGTTTTGTCAACAGATGGGACGCTCCACGGAAATCATCGAAGCGCTGGATGACCTCCGATGCTCGACATGTGCAGAGGCCAAAGGCCCAGAAATTGCCACCATTCATGTTCTATAATTTTCTTGACCAAGCAAGGGTCATACGTCTGCCGATGCAATCCGAGCCTTGGTTCAAGGGTGGATCAGTTGGGCTGGACCCCCAGGGACTTTAGTAGTAGATGCTGGAACTGAGTTCAGAACAGAAACCTTCCATTCCTTCCTCCAGGAACATGATGTAAAGCTTCGAATGATCGCACCTGAGGCTCATTGGCAGAATGCCAGGGTAGAACGCCATGGAGGCATCCTCCAGGCAATTCTAAAGAAAATTGATGCCGAGAAACCAATACTCATATATGAAGATCTCGAAACGGCATTGACGTTTGCAACACAAACCAAGAACAAATGGTCAAGACACAAAGGGTATCCTCCCGAGCTCCTAGTGTTCGGGAAATTGAGCCGCTGTCCGGGTGCTGTTTCCAGTGAATGCACGGATGCCTCGAATGACCTCGCTGCAAGAGTCACCAGAACGCATCCAATTTCGAGAACGCCTCGCAATCAGAGAACAAGCTCGCAAGGCTTTCAGCGAAGTCGATAATTCACAGCCAAAGAAAGAGAAATGTTCGTTGAGGCTAAAAACAAGGAAATACAAAGCTGGCTAGATACTCAGACTGTGTGTCGCATCCTGCGCAACAAGATAACACATAATAACATTCTCAAGCGCCGTTGGATTTTGACATGGAAGGACGCTGACAATAACACTACTTTGACCAAATATGCCAAGTCTCACAGGAAAGCTAAGGCGCGCCTAGTCATTCTGGGTTACCAAGACCCAGAATTGAGCAATCTAGAGCGAGATAGCCCTACACTCTCCAAGTTGTCACAAAACCTCCTTCTCCAGTTATGCGTCTCAAACAAATGGGAGATTGGAAGTTTTGATATCAAAACTGCGTTCCTTCGTGGAAGTGCTGACAATCGTACATTAGGCCTTGAACCACCGCCTGAATTGCGAACAAGGATGGGTCTCCGACCCACAGAGGTTTGCCAACTCCTCGAGGGAGCCTGTGGCTCAGTCAACGCTCCTCTTTTGTGGTTTCGGGAACTCACCAAAGCAGTCACCGAGCTTGGATTTGTGCCCGCTCCTTTTGACCCGTGTTGTTTTGTATTGTTTGATGACAAGAATCATCACACCCGGGGTTTCATCGGAGTACATGTTGATGATGGACTATTTGCCGGTGATGAGGTGTTCCATTCCAAGATCAACCAACTCGAATCGACATTTCCATTCATGGCTCCATCTCTGTAGACCAATCTCAATATGTAAAAAGATATCACATCCAAATCGATAAAGACCGAAGAAAACATCCAGAAGAACCAATCACCGAAGATGAAAGACAAGCTTTCCGTGGTCTTATTGGAAGCCTCCAATATGCATCAGTGAACACCCGTCCAGACCTGGGGAGCCGACTGAGCTTCTTGCAGAGCAAGATCAATAACGGACAGGTTCGAGATCTTATTGAAGGCAACCGATTTTGCATGATGCTAACGCCCATTCCAATGTAAAGTGTAGATATCAGTTTATCCCGAAAGAGGATGTCCGAATTGTCACCTTCTGAGACGCCTCATTCGCACCCGAGAAGAACCAGTCATCCCATCAGGGTCTCATGATCATGACTGCGCATAAAGACATTGGTAGGAACTTGAAAAGCCTGGTGAACCCAATAGTATGGTCGCCCAAAAAGATCCAAAAGGTTGCAGTGAGCACACTTTCGGCTGAAGCCATGGCTCTCCCAGGAGCCATGGACATCCTCGCATGGTGCAGGCTTTATTCGGGCTGGTGAATGGACCAAAGCTGCCAATGGCGACTCGGGATAAGACCTTCATGAAACTTCTCCAAGCCTTCTCCGCATTCAAGGATGACCCTGTACTGGAGGACCCAAATGCGTCCCTCAGTGACAACCTCTTGAAACTCCAGGAAATTGGCCGACAGGATTCCATCATAGCTACCGATTGCAAAAGTCTGTTCGATTTCGAGTTCAGAACGCTTCTACAGGCACGCCTGACAAAGGAGCATCTGGCCACAGGAGTTGTAGCTTCCATCCAATGTCCAAATTGCCGATAGTTTGACCAAGGTGATGGATACATCCACGTTGAGAGAATTTTAAAGCATCGGTCGATACCAGCTCCAAGATGAGGACGAAATATTGAAAATCGATCTGATCGAAAGGCGCGTCTCAAGTGGATCCAGAATCACCAAAAGACCGCCACGAAGACTCACGGATGAAGGAAAAGCCAAGCCGTCCTCATCAGTTGCTAGCTCAGGACCACTCTCGAAAGGCCCATATGAGAGCCTAAATTAAATAAGGGGATCAGTGATGCTCCAAGCTGCACTCTTGTGGGCTATACCTCAATGCCAAATTGAGACGACGCCAGAAATACTTGCTTCAAAGAAATGGGTTCTTTGTAAATGAGAAGTAACTGGACAATTTTCTGCAGTTGTATCCGAATGCATCGTTTTGTTCCATGCCAAAAGACCCTTCGTATTCCGACCTCGAAGGAACATGTTCGACAAAAATAGAAAACAGGGAATGTCGAATGTGTGATGTTCCCATGTCACATGTTCCTTAATTGACATGTTCGCTGGGTGCATCTCGGCACGAGCGCGAGGGTGCGGTGAGCGGAGGCATCCTGTGGTTGGGAAGGTGAAAGCTTTTTGTTGAGAGCAGGGCTCCCGGGAATTCACTTCATTGTTTTGCAAGGTATTTGAGAAAGCCTAATCACCGCAAGTCATTGCTACCTCTATCGAACCTTGTGCAAGTTCCGATATCTATCTATCTATGTATGTAGGTATGTATGTATGCATGCGTGCATGCATGTTATGCATCTTATGCATGTTTTGTATTGTATTGTACTGTACATTATTGTATCGTATTGTATTGTATTGTTTTGTTATGTTTTGTAATGTAACGCAATATAATGTAATGTATGTTATGTCTTTTAATTTAGTCAGTCAGTTTTAATTCAATTTAACTTAATGCAGTGCAATGCAATGCAATGATGTATGTGTGTATGTGATGTAATGTAATGTAATGTAATGTAATGTAAGTATGTATGTATGTACGTATGTACGTATGTACGTATGTACTTATGTATGTATGCAATGGTATGTAATGGTATGGTATGGTATGGTATGGAATGGAATGGTATGGAATGGAATGGAATGGAATGTATGTATCTAATGTAATGGAATGTAATGTAGTGGAGTGGACTGCAATGTCTGTCTGTCTGCCTGTCTGCCGGTCTGCCTGTCTGCCTGCCTGCCTGCCTGCCTGTCTGCCTGTCTGCGTGTCTGCCTGTCTGCCTGTCTGCCTGTCTGCCTGTCTGCCTGTCTGCCTGTCTGCCTGTCTGCCTGTCTGCCTGTCTGTCTGTCTGTCTGTCTGTCTGTCTGTCTGTCTGTCGGTTGTCTCTCTCTCTCTCTGTCTGTCTCTGTCTGTTTTTGTCTGTCTCTGTCTGTCTCTGTCTGTCTCTGTCTGTGTTTGTCTGTCTCTGTCTGTCTCTGTCTGTGTCTGTCTGTCTCTGTCTGTGTCTGTCTGTCTCTGTCTGTCTCTGTCTGTCTCTGTCTGTCTCTGTCT